TATGCGTGGAGATGACTCTGATTGTGATTCAATGCTTTTAATTTCTCTTTGTTACGGTAAGCAGATCGCTGTCACGGAAGCACGTGCAAAAGAAGAATCAGCCTCTGCCGATGGGTTCGCAGGATCTGCCTTCTCCGACGAAGTTATGCTGAACGATGTTGAACAGCTCAAACATGTGATGGCATACGACCTTGGTCTGGCAGAAAAGGACTGTGCATGGCACTCACCTCTCCTTGCTTACGCCCAGTTGAAGGCATTGAAAAATATGCGCATCCGATCCAAGGAATCTGAAGATAAAAGACGTGAAAAGTGGATGCAGCGAACTCAAGGATATCTCGAAAAACGAGAAGAGAGGAGAGATAGTGTTCCGCCGCTGCGGACTGACTCTCACAGAAATGTTGGACGCACTCGAAGTCGATCGATCAGCAGGACCAGAACATATCGACCCAGAGCTGAAACACCAGCACCGCCTCCGGCACCTGTGCGAGGTCCAGCAGCAAAGGCCAGACCAGTTGAACCTGTGAAATATAAAGCTGCACCGAGATCCTTGAAAGAATCACCAGCTCCGACGTCATCAGGATCTTCCTCTAGTGCTAGGCCGCCTGTAAAGGCTCCTCCAGTTCCGGCTCCCGGACGAACACTAGGTGCACAGCAGCCAAGAACGCCTCCTGATCCACCGGGACCGCCGAAGACTCCACCGCCGTGGAGAGAGAGATCTCAGCAGACTGAGACGACCAGAAAAAGGCCGATCAACGTACCTGAACCTCCGGCGCCTCCATCCCGAATATCGGGTACACAATGGCTTAACCAAGGAACAGCTTCCAGCTCTTCCGTATCTCGTAATTACGATTACAGCTATGATCAGCCGTCGCACTACAGAGTAAATCCCAACACCACTCAAGTAGAATACGTCCCAGGGTACCAGATACCCAGACAGCGTTGGGTCCAGAAATATGACGGATCGTGGCTTGACATGATCCCGCAGACACCGGATCAGTCCATTTTCTTTCATCAGACCGGTGAGCTAAGAAGGAGGAACGAATTGAGTTTTTACGGTTACTATTTCACTATGGGCTTGTAGCCCCCAAAAAAAAAAATTGCAATGTTCCGCATTTGCGGTCGCTTTCGTCCAATAGAAAATACCGCTTTCCAACAGCGGAGAGTAGCTTCTGTACAGTTTTGTTTTTGTCTTCGGACCGTCTCACAGCAGATCACAGGCTGAGCGCTACCTGTGAAACAGACTTGCATGTTCCGACACGAAGAAAATTTGTGTCTGTTTGTGATTTATTTTTGTTTACGTGTCTTCACAATGCATTCATGCATGTTGACATGTATACTTAATTCATATCTCTCATGCGCACTCCGCATGGCTCAAGACTAGCAGCAAACCGCGTAGTGTAAAAAGAGAGTGCAGCAGCCACTTCTTGTCCGCAGGTGTTCATAGGTCTCCAGGGCTCCCCTAATAGAGGGAAAAGCTACCTCACCCCCCGTCCCCCCTTCGGCAAAGGCTTAAGGTACCCTTCGTAGAAGCACCCTTAAGGTACCTTCGAAGGCTTCGAAGCCCCCTTAAGATATCTTCGAAGCCTTCGAAGCCTCCCTAGGGCTTCGGTTCCTCGTTCACCGCCCCCTCCCCCTCCGTCCCCCCTTCGGCAAAGGCTTGAGGTACCTTCGAAGTCTTCGGCGAAGACCCCTTAAGGTACCTTCGAAGGCTTCGAAGCCGCCTTAAGGTACGTTCGTCGAAGGCATGATCTAAAATCTAATTCGCTTGCCTTCCACAATGCCATGATCTAAAATCTAACTCTTTATTTAAACTTCCACCCCCTTCTTGCCTTCCACAGTGCCATGATCTAAATTCTAATTCTTTATTAAAATTTCCCCCCCTTGCCTTCCACAATGCCATGATCTAAAATCGAACTCTTTATTTAAACTTCTCCCCTTGCCTTCCACAATGCCATGATCTAAATTCCAACTCTTTATTTACACTTCCTCCCCTGCCTTCCACAATGCCATGATCCAAAGTCAAACACTTTATTTAAACTTCCCTCCGCTTGCCTTCCAATGCCATGATCTAAAATCCAACTCTTGTTTTTAAAACTTGAATCTAAAATCTGACTTTTTATGAACTTCCGCCTCCCTTGCCTTCCACAATGCCATGATCTAAAATCTACTGTTTATTTATAGTTCCACTCTTGCCTTCCACAATGGTATGATCTAAAATCGAACTCTTCAAAATTTCCCCCCTGCCTTCCACCATGCCATGGTCTAAAATCTAACTTAAACTTCCCCCCGCTTGCCTTCCACAATGCCATGATCTAAATTCCAACTCTTTATTTACACTTCCCCCCATTGCCTTCCACAATGCCATGGTCTAAAATCCAACTCTTTATTTTAAAACTTTGATCTAAAATCTGACTTTTTATGAACTTTCCCCTCCCTTGCCTTCCACAATGCCATGATCTAAAATCTAACTCTTTATTTATAGTTCCACTCTTGCCTTCCACAATGGCATGATCTAAAATCGAACTCTTCAGTTCCCCCCTTGCCTTCCACAATGCCTGATCTAAATTCCAACTCTTTATTTAAATTTCCCCCTTGCCTTCCACCATGCCATGGTCTAAAATCTAACTTAAACTTCCCCCCGCTTGCCTTCCACAATGCCATGATCTAAATTCCAACTCTTTGTTTCAATTTCATCCCCCTGCCTTCCACAATGCCATGATCTAAAATCTAACTCTTTATTTAAACTTCCCCCTCCTTGCCTTCCACAATGCCATGATCTAAATTCTAACTTTTATTTAAACTTCCCCCCTTGCCTTCCACAATACCATGATCTGAAGTCTAATTCTCTTGCCTTCCACACGACTGCCCCCAGAGAGAGAGAGAGAGAGAGAGATAGGATAGGATAGATAGATGGATGGATAGATAGATAGATAGATGGATAGATGGATAGATGGATAGATGGATAGATGGATCGATGGATCGATGGATAGATGGACTGATGGATAGATGGGTAGATGGAGAGATGGAGAGATGGAGAGATGGAGAGATGGAGAGATGGAGAGATGGAGAGATGGACCGATGGATAGATGGATAGATAGATAGATAGATAGATAGATAGATTAGATAGATAGATAGATAGATCGATAGATCGATAGATGGATAGATGGATAGATGGATAGATAGGTAGGTAGGTAGGTAGGTAGGTAGGTAGATGATAGATAGATAGATAGATAGATGGATAGATGGATAGATGGATAGATGGATAGATGGATAGATGGATAGATGGATAGATGGATAGATGGATAGATGGATAGATGGATAGATGGATAGATGGATAGATAGATAGATAGGTAGGTTGTAGATAGATAGAAGAAGTAGATAGATCGAAGATTAGATTAGAATGATAGTTAGATAGATAGATAGAGAGCTAGATAGATAGGTAGATAGGTAGATAAGGTAGATAGGTAGATAGGTAGATACGGTTAGATAAGGTAGATAGGTAGATAGGTAGATAGGTAGATAGGTAGATAGGTAGATAGGTAGATAGGTAGATAGGTAGATAGGTAGATAGGTAGATAGGTAGATAGATAGATAGGATAGGTAGGTAGGTAGGTAGATAGATAGGTAGGTAGATAGGTAGATAGGTAGATAGGTAGATAGGTAGATAGGTAGATAGAGAGATACATAGTCAGATAGACAGATGAGATAGATAGCTAGAAAGAAAGATAGATACCTGAGGACGTCTCAGAATAGCTTCGTTTTCAAGCTTGCAGATAGACAGGTAGATAGACAGACAGACAGAGAGAGAGAGATAGATAAGATAGATAGATGGATGGATGGATGGATGGATGGATAGATAGATAGATAGATGGACAGTTGGATAGATGGATAGATGGACAGTTGGATAGATGGATAGATGGATAGATGGATAGATGGATAGATGGATAGATGGATACATGGGTAGATGGATAGATGGATAGATGAATAGATAGATAGATGGATAGATGGTTAGATGGATAGATGGATAGATGGATAGATGGATAGATGGATAGATGGATAGATGGATAGATGGATAGATGGATAGATGGATAGATGGATAGATGGATAGATAGCTAGATAGATAGATAGGTAGGTAGGTAGATGGATAGATGGATAGATCATCAGATGGATAGATGGATACATGGATAGATGGATAGATAGATAGATAGATAGATAGGTAGATAGATAGATAGCTAAATAGACGGATAGATAGATAGATAGAAAGATAGATAGATAGATAGATAGATAGGTAGATAGGTAGATAGGTAGATAGGTAGATAGGTAGATAGGTAGATAGGTAGATATGTAGGTAGATAGGTAGATAGATAGATAGAGAGATAGATAGATAGATAGATAAATAGATAGATAGATAGACTGATAGATAGATAGATAGATAGGTGGAGAGGTAGATAGGTAGATAGGTAGACAGGTAGATAGGTGGATAGGTAGATAGATAGATAGATAGATAGGTAGATAGGTAGAGAGGTAGATAGGTAGATAGATAGATAAGCGTCTGTGACCAAAGGGTCAAAAAAATTGAATGGAGCTCAAATGGTAGGGTGTTCTGGATGCGTCAAACTGTAGAGCCAAAATTTTGGCAAATCTTGTCAAGGCCAGGAAGAGCTGACTCGGATGAACGGGTGGAAGGTTTCTGTACCTTCTACGTAGACGATGTTTTGGTTTGCGGGCCACCGGAGCTCACCAAAGGGTGTTTGGGCAGGGTGACCCAAGAGTGGAGCTGCTCCCAAGCAAAATATAAGGGGCAGGCGGCTTTCTGCTGTCCCAGGAATCGTACACAAGTGACCTTCTGGAGAGGTATCCCGATGTGAAGGAATCACTGGTTCCGATCGGAAGGGTGGAAGATGGTGAAGAATCACCACCAGACCCCTCTGACATAAGAAAGGCGCAGGCTCTCGTTGGGGAGCTCTCCCTGGGTATCTGAAGCGCACCTTGGGACACGGGTTGCTCTATAAAAAGTGCCAGGAGGCTGGCCGAGGGCCTCGGACGCGTCGTTCGGTCCGGGTGGAGAGAGATCTCACCAGGGTCTTCTTGCAGTTTGGGCTGGAGGGTTGATCCAGTGGGAAAGCAAGCGGCAAAGTTTTGCCACCTTGAGTAGTTCGGAAGCTGAGGTGACGTCTTACGTGGACGCTATGTGCCTAGGAGATTCCGTTGCCGTTCTGGTCGACATCTTCGAGGAGCGGAGATTGAGTCCGAGTGTTGTATGGAGATTCCCAATCAGGAATCCAGGTAGTACTCAACCCAAACGGGCCTTCGAGATCAAGGCATCTCAGGCTGGGGTCGAGAGCACTGCACGAGGCAGTGCAACAGGAGGTATGGAAACTGAAGCACATGGCTGGGGTGGAACTGGCAGCAGACTTCCTCACAAAACCCAGCACTGTGGGAACTACGTGGGCGAGGTTCAGAACCTTTGCGGGGTTCTACGACATGGCCGAGCCTGGGGACCTGGAGAGCTTGAAGAAGATCGCGATCTGCAAGGACTGGGGTCTGAAGGGTTTAGCGGTAGCTGTAGAGTTAGAAAAGTGGAATCTGTCTGTAGAAGAGCAGAAGACGGTGTCTGCGCTGTAGCCGCTGGCATCTGCCACGTAGTTCAAAGGTGGAGACATCACCTCTGTTGCCTGAAGAGGAAAAGAACGCCGAGGGAAGATGAACCCGGCAACTCAAATGGGGAATCGGTAACCCCGGAAGCATTACAAGACGGCTGAGGGAAGATGAACCCAGCCCTAATCCTGTAGATGGTCCCCATGTTGGAATTGGAACCCAGCCCACAACCAACTATTAAGATGTCAAAGGAATATGAACCTGGCATTGACCCCTCAAATGGTCACCACCAAGGCCCCACCTCTTTTGGGGATTCTGGTTTCGGGGAATCGAGTTTTGGGGATAGCGTGGCCTGCAGTTTTCCATGTGGCAGGTTAGACCATGTGAAGGGACCCGTTCTCTCCACAGACTTCGAGTGAAGCGCCACTGCCCTTCGGGCTGCCCAGGGTTCGGCTACCGGGTTCGGGCGCTACGCGCGGGAGCCATGGACGCTGCGCCGACTGCTGCCGCAGCTGCTGGTGGAGCTGGCGGCGATGGTGGAGAAGATCGGCCTGATAAGTCTTGGGTGGAGCCCAAGCCAGGGCGATGAGAGGAAGCACCAACAAGAGCAGAAGGACGAAGACTTGACTAGACTCCACGATGGAGAAGCCAGAGACTCGGGGCATCGAACCCAACATCTGATCTGGTTTGAGGGCCAGCAGGAGTTGGCCTTACGCCATGAAGTTATGAAGGCCAGACAGGCCAGGCAGGCAGCTCGCAAACAGTATACTGCGGGGGCTCGGAGAAGCCCGAAGAAGAAACTGAGGTAGCTGCTGACCATGGGGACTGGCCGAGCTGGGAAGGGATCTCAGTGGAAGAGTCAGACGAAGAGGCTGACCCAGGACAGGCCTTGCCTCATGAACACCTGGAGCTTATGAGGTCGATACACGTGCTTCGGCAGGTATGGGGACGGAGCCAATGGTCAAGGCTATGAGGATGCCGAGCTCTATTACAAGACCGTGGGAGAATGTGGAGTTTGCGGCGCCCGGAGGTAAAGATCGATGGCGGTTGGACCTGGTCGAAGGCTGGATGATCAGGTGCCACCGGGAGCCGAGGAGAAGGGCCTTTCACCCGGTCCACAAGAAGGCTCCCTACGCGGCTTGTTCGCTGGAGCCTATACCAGGGTCACTGTGGGCTTCGTGGGCCGAGAAGGAAGTTCAAGGTTGAGGACCAGTGGGCTGATGCTGTCCGTGATCTTGGCCAAGGTTGCTGGACGGGCTGGACCTTCTTCAAATTGAAGGTGTCTGAGCCTGCATCGGTTCCACCGGGCACACCTTTTCCAGGAGAAGATGTACTGCGAGGTGGACAAGGGCATTGTTCTCTACTACCTGACCTACCAGTTGGCGATGACCAAGCAGCTGGACCTGATGGCGGGACGTATGCCACTGCGGCATCTCCTGCAACAGCTGCTCCAAAGGCGGCTCCAGCAACTGGCTACGCTGGTGGCCGTGGGCTGTTGGACCGAGCACAGCTTGTGGTGGCCGACCTTCGCCGTCGCGATGGGGATCTTCAACCGGAAGAAGGTGAACTGAGCGAGGGTTAGAGTGAACTTTCGAGCGTCTGAACTCGTGTAGTTTTTTCCCAATGGTGACTTGCCATATAGTGGCAAGGGGGGAGTGTGGATGATGAAAGGTCTCCATTACTCACTTTTCACCCACAGCTGTACATGTGTGACATAGCAGTTGAAACTTGCAGCATGGTTATACCAACGCTGCTCCGCTTATGGCTCAAGTGCTCAAGAAAACGTGTTGGCAGCTCAGAGCGCTGTTGACGTCCCTGTTCATAACCCCAAAACTACAAAATTGTGCACAAGGTGAACCTTGCAGACTGTAACAACATCTTGGATTTCGACCACATCACTTGGCAGAAGCATTGACAAAATCACCGCAGTATAGGTTCCAAAAATCACTGGTCTCATGCCTAGCCTGCAGGGCAGCAAGGTTCTTGTAACGACAACATGCATTCATTTGCGATGTTGGTGTGGTGGGTATTGGAAACTGACTCCAACAAGCGCCTTGCATTGCCCATAGTGATGGTCACTTGCGTGTTTCGCACATTTGATATGCCACACTGCTGCCACACTTGTCCCCTAGCAATATAACATGCTGGATTATACATTAAAATTGATTGGGGCTGTCCGTCGATGTTTGATGAAAACATGGCGGCGCACAGACTGGCTGCGGTCGGAAAAAGGTTGGATCTGGCTGGAAAAATGCACATTGTAGGTCTTTCACTTTCAACACTTCGTTGAAAATGTTTTCGTGAAACATACCACGGTGCATACCGGATGGGGGTGAATTCGTGTCAAACGGGGTTCACAATACAGTATAGGCACTCGGCGGGTGGAACACGTAGTGGTTTCGCTTCAGTTCCTCTTGCAGCATGCATGACACCGGAGTTCAAAGTGCTTGGCAAATAAAACAAATCAACCGGAAAGAGGTGCATGAAACTTAAAAAATAAATTAGTTTCGATGATGCAAAAAAGTGCCTTATGTTTTTGTCGTTTGTCCCCTTGGCGTTAGTAGTAAATGCGTCTTGGCAGCGCTACAAATTTTCCTGCACTGCAATACAGTGCCTCATATGCCAGCGTTTTGTGGGGGCCACTGCCCCAAGGAGTTTCTAATTTATCATGGTTTCAAATGTTTGATATGCTTGTCAAAGGTTTGTGTACAAACTGCAATTCCGTTTTCATGTGAAAACATCGCTGCTTTGCCGCCGTCCTCCCGCAAACGATCTTGCAAAGTTCGCCCAACAATTTGTTGAAAAATCACCCCTTTCAATTTTGGATTATTTTGGGATGTGTGAAGGTGGTCACGATATGTCACGATGTTTTGTTCGTTGGGTGTTTTGATATACAATGCTTTGACGTCACAGCTCGTGGTCGTCTCGACTTTACGTGCGGCCGCAGCAAATAAATTTTTGTCACTAATTGTGTTGGTGCACCGGGTGCAAAATTGTCGGGCGAGAGGAAACGTGCGGACGTTTGGTTGGGAATATGGAGCGTGGAAATTGCCAGCACTCCATGGCATGGATGAGAATCGCGGACCACCGTGCCAGGGGGTCCAACGATGAATGATTGACAAAAATTTGGCAGGTTGTGGTGAAGTTTCGCTCCGGGGAGCGGTCTGATAAACTGTGCGGTTCGCACGTTGCATGAGGTTCGCTGACATAGTTATTTTTTGGACACTTAGCGAAATTATGTCTTGGCCGATTTGCATTTTGATGCTGTTCTATAATGACACGGGTCCAGCTCCCCCTAGACGGGTTTTTAATCCTTGTTCCGAATTGCATGCTGGCCCCTTGCAAAAACATTTGGACACCAGCCAACAAGTGGTGTTGAAAATTCACCTTTCCACCGAGGGGAAAGTGCCAATGTGTTGGGACACCTAACTGCCCGAAAAAAAAACCATATTTTCAGAACTAAACGTTTCCCAGACAAAAATGGTGGCAAACACATGTTTGGAGAGACTTTTGCGCGTGGACGTGTCAAGCAAATTCATTGAAACACTGCTTGGTGAGAGAAGGAAAACAATAAAAACATATTGGGATTATTGGGAAAGGACCTTGGCTGGTGATTTGATGCAACGAATGGGTGTTAAGATTGAACACTGGTCCCATGCTGCGCAGGCAATGTTTGACAAATGTAACAAATTCGTTCATGTTTATCCGAAATCGCGACTTATTTTTTTTGATGTCGTGGTGTGTTTGAGCACGCGCAGGCTTAGCAACATTACTTACTGGTGACAAAGGCGTACTTGAACGAATCAAATGTAGCATAGCCACGCAGCATAATTGTGTGTTAGGCGCGCCTGGACAGCGAATTTTGGATGACATTTTCAATCAAAAATTCCAACTTGCAGTTGGCGCGAAGTCAACCGACATGTCGAACACTGTATGTTGGCGATCGTTTTTTTATGTTTTTTGCATTGTGGATGACCCTTTTTCCAAAAAGACAAGATGCAACCCACGAACCCGAATGCAGTCACGTAAAACACTTTTGTGAAACAAACTATTTGAACAGTTTTGTACTTTTTTTCCCTGTTACGGTACCAGTGCACTGTCGACTGTGGAATGTGGGATGGGGTGGAATGCCAAGTGTGGAGTGTGAAGAAAGTGGAGTGTTGAATGGGGAATGTAATGTGTAGATTGTGAAGTGGGGATTGTGAAGTGTAGAGTGTCAAGTGTGGAGTGTAAAGTCTAAAGTGTGGAGTCTAAAGTCTAAAGTGCAAAGTGTAAAGTGTAAAGTGTGTGGAGTGTAAAGTGTAGAGTGTCAAGAGTAAAGTGTGGAGTGCAAAGTGTAAAGCGGAAAGTGTAAAGTGTGAACGTGGAGCCTAAAAGTGTAAAGTGTGGAGTGTAGAGTGTGGAGTGTAAAGTTTAAAGTGTGGCGTGTAAAGTTTGAAGGTAGAAGTAGAGTGTAAAGTGTAGAGTGTAAAGTGTGGGGTGTGGAGTGAAAAGTGTAAAGTGCGGTGTAAACTGTAAAGTGTAAAGTGTGGAGTGTAACGAGTAGAGGGTGTGGAGTGTAGAGTGTAAAATATAGAGTGTGGAGTGTAAAGTGTAGAGTGCAAAGTGCGGAGTGTAAAGTGTGTGCAGAGTGCGGAGTGTAAAGTGTGAAGTGTGGAGTGTAAAGTGTAGAGTGTGGAGTGCAAAGTGTAAAGTGTGGAGTGTCAAGTGTCAAGTGTAGAGTGTAAAGTGTAGAGCGTGGAGTGCGGAGTGAAATGTGTGAAATGTGTAAAGTGTACCGTGTAAAGCGTCGAGTGTGGAGTGAAAAATGTAAAGTGTAGAGTGCGGAGTGTGAAGGGTAAAGTGTGGAGTGTAAAGTGTAGAGTGTGAAATGTAGAGTGTGGAGTGAAAAGTGTAAAGTGTACGGTGTAAAGCGTAAGAGTGTAAAGTGTGGAGTGTGGAATGCGGCGTGGAAAGTGTAGAGCGCGGAGTGTGAAGTGTAAATTGTCAAGTGCAGAAAGTGAAGTGTAGAGTGTAAAATGTAGAGTGTGAAGTGTAAAGTGTAGAATGTGGAGTGTAAAGTGTAGAGTGTGGAGTGTAAAGTGTAAAGTGTGGAGTGTCTACTCTGGAGTGTATAGTGTGGAGTGTGAAGTGCGGAGTGTGGAGTGTAGAGGGTGGAGTGTAGAGGGTGGAGTGTAAAATGTAAAGTTTAAAGTGTAGAGTGTAAAGTGTAGAGTGTGGAGTGTGGAGTGAAAAGTGTAAAGTGTAGATTGCAGAGTGTGAAATGTAAAGTGTAAAGTGTGGAGTGTAAGATGTAAAATTCAAAGTGTAGAGTATGGTGTGTAAAGGGTAGAGTGTGGAGTGTGGAGTGAAAAGTGTAAAGTGAACGGTGTAAAGCGTAAAACTTGGAGTGTGGAGTGTAAAGTGTAGAGTGTGGAGTGTAGAGTGTTGAGATAAAAGTGTAAAGTGCACGGTGTAAAGTGTAAAGTGTGGATTGTGGAAGTGTAAAGTTCGGAACGCGCAACCCGACACGTCCAAAGTGCCGCGCTTGCTACTAAGGACGAGGGGGTCACCAAAGTGCTCTCTCTCTGCCTGGCGCCTTATCTTTTGAACGGTGCAAAAGTTTTGCGCGTCTCACACGAAAGCATGGAATGTCACAAAGCGCCACGCCTGCCACGTGAAACGAGGCGAGGCGACGTTTGAAACCTCCAAAAGTAATCATTTTTGGTGGGCCTGCCCATAGGCACGAGCACGGCATGCGGTCCCCACGCGAACGGTTGCGGACGGTTGCGGACGGCTGGGAACAGTTGCGAACGGTTGCGAACGGCTACGAACGGTTGGAAACGGTTGAGGACGCAAACGCAACGTCGAGCGAACACACCCTCAACCCCCAGACCCCCAGACCCCCAGAGAGTGAAACGGGGACTTTCGCTACGCGTTCGGGAAGATCTGCGTAGAGGCTGGTCAACTAAACGGTGGGATGCCTACCCTACAAAATATTGTTTTGGAACATTTCACCGAGCAGAACCGGATTGCAACCCACACACACACACACACACCCTGGCGGTTGGCCGACAAATAATACAAAATCATGACGGCACTTCAGCCTCATGCGGATTTCATATCGAGAGATGCGTCGTACAATCATGTCAAGTGGAAGTGACAGGGTGAATCCATGTGCAAAGGCGTTTGATAATGATGCAGGTTCGTTTTTGTTGTTTTGAGTTGGAATTGGCCCAAAGATGTGTCAGAAACTGGTTCGGTTTTGAACACCAAATTGTCAGACTTGGTTTCCCAGTTCCATCTTGTGCTGTGGACGCGGTTGGTTCAAAACGTTCAAATTTTGGATTCAGTGTGCTGCTATTTTGCATGCTAGGGATGTTTTTGTGAGGGAGGTTTTGTGTTTTTTCCCTGAAAGTCATTCAAGCAGGTGTCAGCAAAACGATTTGGCGTGACTTTTGAGTTTGCAAGCGTCGTAACTTCTGAGCCTGCAAATGCTGTTATGAACTTTCAAGTACGGTATCGCCACCTATGCACTTGATTTCTTGCTTGCAAGCAACGTGACATCGACTATGGTCGTAACTTCTTGGAC